ATAAAGCGGCCTCTGGACACACCCAGCGGGGAGAGAGACTGGGGGGGCGGGGGGCGGGGAGAGAGGGAGGAGGGAGGCTGGGAGAGAGCGAGGAAGGGGGGAGAACGAGCGAGGAGGGGAGGAGAGGGAGGAGGGAGGCTGGGAGAAAGCTAGGGAGGGGGAAAGGAGAGGGAGGAGGGAGGCTGGGAGAGAGCGAGGGAGGGGGGAGAACGAGCGAGGAGGGAGGGGAAGGAGAGAGGAAGGAGGAGAGCGAGGGAGGGGGAGTGTGGCTGGGATAGAAGGAGAAGGGGAGAGAAAGAGGGAGAGGAGAAGAGAAGGGAGGGAGGGCACAGTGTTAGGATGGGCATTAAGGAGAGAAAGGGGGAGAAGGCAGGGCTGTCCAAGGGGTCGCAGAGGTGGCCTAGGAGCGGGCTAAGGAGAGCAGGGTGAGGGATGGTGGGGATTCCAGCCGAGGATGGCTTCCAGAGAAGTGCTGGGGAGAGGGCAGCTGGTGTCACTTTTTGACTTTGGGAATATCCTTTCCCCCCATCTCTCAAATGAGGGGCTGGAAAATCTCGAAGGTCCAGGTCGAAAATGCGATGCCTCTGGACTTCCCCATGCCTACCCTCCTTTCAGGACACGGTACCAGCTAGGCATGGGTTGGCAGCTGTGCCAGAACAAGATCCTATATAAATTTTGCGTTTCTTCCCACTCAGACTACTGTACTTGGTATACAGTCGGTGCTTAATAAGTGTTTGCAGAATAAATGAATGGGTGGCTGACAGGTGATATAGATGAAGTGGGAGGGGTGGGGAAGAAAGGAGAAGGTGGGAGAGGACCATCCATCAATCTGTGGGGCTCTGGGGCTTGGTCCTGAACATTTACCAGTCTAGATCAGAGTCGTTGGGCCCTCCTGTGGGCACGGCCCTGAGACACCCTAAGCACTTCTTCCCAATAGATGGGGGGCACACACCCAAACGTGCCCACTAGCTCATCCCTCAGTGGAAGCTGCCCTTTCCAAGGTTACAGCATCCTTCTTAGCAACCAAGTTTGCCACCTTACACCAAGTCTCTGTCTGCTCTTCCCTCTTCCCTCAGCCCTCACCCCAGGTCTACTCTGTTGCCAAATCTTGATTCTAGCCCCACACCCTCAGTCCAATACATGGTCATCGCCTTGTCAGGCTTCCCAGGGACTCTCTGGTCCCTCTGCCCCCAGGCTAGCTATCCCCTCCCAATCCATTTACCACACCGCTGCCAGAAGTCTAACTGTATCATCCTCAAGCTCAAAGCCATTTAGGAGCTCCCTATGGCCTCCAGGATAAAATGCAGCCTCTTTGACAGGATCTCCGAAATTTGGATCCACTTTTCCAGCTCTATCAATTAATCAACAAGCATTTCTTAAGCCCTGACTATATGGAAGCATTGCACTCTGAATCACCCACTAGGAATACAAAGACAAGTGGAAAACATTTCCTGCCACCAAGGAGCTTATAATCTTGCAATACTCCATTCACCCACCAAACTCCAACCAAGTACATTGGATCCTCCATCTTCTGCCTCCTGCATTTGCATGGGCAGGTCTCCATGCCTGGAATGCATTCACTCCTCACCTCCTCTAGGTGTAAATGTTACCTCCTAGAAGTTAGGAACCATTTCATTTTCTTCTTTTCTGTCTTGGTGGCCCCAACCCCAGCATAGTACAGAGTAGGAGCCTGGTCCTGCCTGGAGTACTGCAGATAGCCTTCCAAATACTCTCCTGACCCTAAGTTTCATCCTTCCCAAAGCTGCCCAGGTGATGTTTCTGGACTTTCATAGTTCTGAGCACACCACTGTCCTGCTCAAGCTGCTTCTGGGGCTCCCTAGTACCTCCAGGATCCAACTGAAAACCCTTTGGTATGCAAAGTTCCTTATATAACTTGCCCCCTTCCTACCTCCCTAGTCTACTTACACCTTCTTTGACTCCACACTCTAGGTGTTCTAGCCTGCCTGTTTGCAGAGCTTCAAGCTCAACCCTCCATACCTTAGTTATACTGGGAACACCCCCTGCACCATCACCTCCGAGTTTCCCTGACTTCCTCAAAATCCAGCCCAAACTGTCTGTTCTTCAGGAACCATTCCTGGTCCCTACAGGACTGCAGCCCTCTCCTCTGAGGCAAACTTCCATCTATGAACCCTGTGTGTCCTTAGCTATGGACATTCCATCTCCTCCATTAGACTGGGAGCTCCTGGAGGGCAAGGACCGTTTGGGACTTTCTTTTGCACGTCCAGATCTTATCCCAGTGCCTGGCACACAGGCAAGTCATTGATAAAAGCTTGCGGACTTGACTTGGATTTCCCTGAATGATCCTGACCCTGCCTCCCACACAGGGCTGGCCAGAGAAAAGCACTTTGGAAAGCTCCTGAACATTTTACATGGCAGAGACAGCAAAATGAGGCCCAGAGAGATGAGAGCTCTCTCCAAGGCCCACAAGGCCCTGACAGCAATGACCTGGCCAGAGGCCCTTGGACCACACTCACCGACTCAGCAGTAAAAACAGCCCTAGAAACTGGGTCAGAGAGGTCCACTCTCCAGCTCCCAGGGGATGGGAAATGGAGAATGCCCAGGGGTGTCTGAAACTAGGCCTGAGGAGGAATAGGAGCCCCAAAGCCAGGATTGGACCACCTGGGAATCGTGAAGTTTGGAGGTGAAAGGGACCTCAGAACAGAGAATGTCAGAGCTGGGAGGGGCCTTAGAACAGGGAGTATCAGGGCTGGGAGGGGTTGGGACAGATCCTCCACAGATGCTTTCTGTTACTTTCCTCACAGGACAAGCCCCTTTCCTGCCTCCCCCCCCCCATGGGATCCTCAGGGATGTGCTGATACATCCTCTGGACAAGGTTAATTGGAAGCAGCCAAATGAGACCCCATTAGAGATTTCCCAGGAAACCTGATGGACTGGGGGAGGGGAGACAGTCTGGAGCTGGGCCCACCAACCCAATCCGGCCTGCAGGAGCCTCCACCTTCTGATGACGGTCCCTGCGCCCTCTTCCTCTGTTCCTCTGGCTCTTATTCCTAGCTCCAGACCCTAGGAGCAGTACCTGGTGCTCACTGGGGTGGGCTCCTTCCCTGGGCCCAGCCTGACCACCCAGTTCCTGGGCCTCTGGCCGGCTAAGGGGCCCCATAGGACCTGGGGTCTTTGCCCTTACCTTTGTCATTCTAAAGCTCCAAACAGAACTCCAGGGCCCCCTCCAGGGACACTACCAGAACAATCTCGCCCAGGGATACTCCTGAGTGGGGCTGAGACCAAGGAAAGGGGCCCTCTCCTCCCTTCCTCCCTGCTCACATGCACACACCCTGCTGGCCCTCCCGCTTTCTGAGATCAAACACTACCACCTCCTGGAACCCTCACCAGAGCCCCCATTGACAATGAGCTCCCCCTTCAGACCTCTCACAGCACTGCGCTGGACCCTCGAAAGCTAATGCACTCATCACGTCAGAGCGTGTATTTGAGTTAGCTGGGTATGCATCATCCTCATCTATAAGAGAAGAGGCCAGGTCTTGAACAAGGCATCTGCCGTGCTCTCTGGCCCCACATCACAGCTGCACAGCCTCTGACTCCTGCCAGGCTTTATCCCAAACGGGCATCTCACCCGGTGCCCCAGGGACGAGGCCATCTCTTGAATTGAACTGAATTGAGGCAAGTAGAGAAAAACATCCTCTCCCTAGATTACAAATTAGGAAACTGAGGCCAAGAGTGGGAGGAATGGCCTATCCCAAGCCACAAGAGCCAGAGGTTTCATCACTAGAGGGACTTTTCCTCTGCAGTTAGTTGTGACTCTGACACCTGAGAACAGGCTGGTTTCTCTTATGGTCCTCAATGCACTGGTAGCTGTGGGGAAGCTTCCCAGACCCCCCTGGGCCCTGACTGGCTGCTGGACCCACTTTCTCTCCAGCATTCTCTCTGTCTCTTCTCTTCTGTCCCCCATTCTCTGTTTCCTTCTCTCTTCTTTCTTTCTCTGTCTCTCCCTGTGACATCATACCTCTAGGAGTATGTGTGTGTGTGTGTGTGTGTGTGTGTGTGTGTGTGTGTGTGTGTGTATGTGAATGAATGAAAGAATGGTTCCATCTATGCGCTTTTCTCAGTAACTATAAGAAGGAGGGAGAAAAAAGAGAAGGGAGAGAAAGAGACAGAGAAGAAGGAAGAGACAGACAGAGAGGGAGAAAGAGAGAGAGACACACACACACACAGAGACGGAGATGGAGAGGAAGGGAGGGAGAGAGAGAGAGACAGAGAGGAGAGAGAGAGAAGAGAGATAGAGACAGAGTGAGAGAGAGAGAGAGAGAGAGAGAGTGAAAGAGTAGAGAGAGAGAGAGAAAGAGAGGAGAGAGAGGGGAGAGAGGAGAGAGACAGCAACAGAGAGAGAGTGAAAGAAAGAGAGAGAGTGAAAGAAAGAGAGAGAGAGAGAGAGAGAGGCAGAGAGAGAGAGAAGACAGGAGAGAGAGAGAAGAGAGAT